CATGTTCCGAATGTAACTTCAATCTTCACTTTATATACATGGCATATTCACGTGACACTACCTCAAGCATTTCATCCATTACCTCTTATTGCATAGAGTCGTTTGATTTTTATTTTAATCAGTTATCTTTATTAGCGATATTATCTCCATACTACTGTATGCCATACTGTTTGTTACAAGAAGCCAATCGCTTGTCTTACATCCAAATAACTGACCATTCCTTCATAGAAAAGAGTTCCAAAATTATCTCCAAGGAACAAATATACTGCTGGGCGTATTTATGCAGTTAGTTGCGTGTGTGCGATTTTTAAAAAGATGCCATATTGCGTATTTGATGCCCATGGTCTACTCAGAAAAGATATTTGATCACTCGGCTTCGGCCTTGCGTCTAACGTCCGTGGATCCTTGGCACATGTCATCTATTTTAAATATAGAAAGTACGAAAAGTAAACCCCAAAGTGAGGATCAAGTGAGACAGCTTGTAAATACTATGTATTATGGGGATGGTTTATAATATCAGTACGCAAAACTTAAAGTACCTTAGATACAATGAATTTAAAAAAAAATAGGTAGCTTATGCACTCAGAAAATAATGATGTAAATAAAAAATAATAAGGCAATGATTAAAAGATGGCAAACAAAACCTCATACAATTGATAATAAAATCAAACAACTACCAGTTATATATTTTTGAATATATAAAGTGTTGATCATAATCCTTCTATAAATGAACTTCAGTTAATTAGTTGACCATGCCTTTCCCACCAAACACATCAAACCAAATACTAATGAAAACTCTTACTATCTTGCATTCGAATACATAAAATGTAGCAAATCTAACACAAGGCATTGAGGAAGGAAGAAAAGCATTTTTCTGTCTTGGCTTGAAGTACTTACATTCCCAAAGAGGCAATGTACGGTTGGAAATATTTGAGCACTGAGCACGAGGAGAAACTCCATTGATTGGTTGTGTTGAACATAGACGAAGCCGACATGATGTATCCATCCGCAGCTGTGCACGTATTGCTCTGCCCATCATGCTGTGCGCCGAGTCTGTAGGTCAAAAAACAATGTTCACATACCAAGCATTTTTAAATCTTGTAGTGGATGATCCAGAAACCTCTTGTTTCATTTCATACTAGGCGAGGGTATCGAAAGGGTTGGATTAAACAAGTACGCACAAATGCCTTGGTGGAGGCCTACGGAGCGAGGGTCCGTGGAGTTCCTAATTTTAAGCACTAGCCGATTATAATTTTTATCCTTGTTTTTCTCGATTACTTACTCTCCACCCATCCCCACCCCTATCATGTATAATAATTTGATAAGAGATGATCATCTTACATGTGTGTCTGTGTGTGTGTGTGTGTGTGTGTGTGTGTGTGTGTGTGTGTGTGTGTAAATGAAGGTGATGCAAGATTTTTAAAATATTTATATTCATCTATTTAATACAAATTTACACAGCTATAAATGTCTTGGGCTGGAGTTTTGCAAATGGGTATTAAATTAAATAGAGCCGAACTATAGAGTTATATCGTATCAACGTAAGTAATGTAATGTGCCTTGCTCAAGGACATACAACAGAAGCCGATCCTGGCTAATCCAATAGATTGAATCTATTGGGTGGGTGTTGTTGTTTTGTTTTTAATTTTAGGGAAACAGACAAAACTTGCTTGTTCTGGTGGAATCAGATTAAATTTTGTTATATATTTGTTATTACAACAATATAATTTTACATAACCCTATTAGTCATAATTACAATGTATACGGACATAGGATCCAAAATAGTGCAATGACCTCAACGGTCACAAAACCCCGAAATATTCAATTGCTGTATATCGGAATAGCTATGGGACTTAAAATGGTAGATGATATGCTATTTATTTTTAAATAATGACAAATTAAATTTGGCTAATGAATCCATCTTAATAACATCTCGCCCATAAGTGAAATAATAATATGCAATCCCAGGGTCACGCATTTGATACCCGCCTGTGCCATCCCAGGCCCTCTGTATTTGAGTCCATATGATAGGCTCTAAGTTTCAGTTTCCTGGACATTATATTTTAGTAGTGTTGAAAGTCCATTAAATTGTAACTACTCAGTTATTAAACTATATATTTTAACCCAATAGACTTCATATAAGCACTGCATATACCGTAGGTTCTATGTTGTAATTAATTCAACCTTATAGGTGTATGTAGATTACATGATGATAATTGAGAATAGATAAAAAAATATTTTAAAAAAACTGTCAATAAAAATACCAATTTATTTTTCATTTTCAGACTTTATATTAAAAATTACAAACCCCCAAAACTCAAACGTGTTATTAAGCAATACTCTAATTTACACGAGAGTACGCTCACAGATGAGGAATTTTGGAAAATTCTGAATATTTTGATAATTTTTAACGTGTTTTTACAATGAACAGCTGCTCATGCAGTACGCTTGACACCTGTAGACGATGGCATACAACGTAGTGTAGATAAATCACAGTGAGGTAAAAATGTCTGAGAAGGAAAACAAATCTGCAACCCTGAAAAGAACATACTGTAAAAATCCAATACCTCTTAAGGTACCATTTCACTTCTTTTGGTACCCTTTGACATCTTAGGGTACACTTTAACATAATAAGGTACCCTCTGACTTCTACTGGTACCCTTTGACTTTTTATGGTAACATCTGATACCTTACGGTACCCTTTAACTGAACAAGGCCGACATGGATACAATTTACGAATGCAGTTCTATGTCATGTTCTATAATTTTGAGATGGTTTCATCATCGTAAAGATGGTCGCGGGTTTATTGAAGATGATGCACGTTCTGGATGAGTTTTGTCTGCGATGCGATTGGCAAGCGAAAGTGGATGCCGTGAAAGTAGTACTTGACGAAGATACTCGATAAATAATGGAAGCTATTATATTATCACGAACATTATCAACTGTTTTCGCATTTTGAAGAATTATTTGACAGGCAGAAGAAAAATTTGTTAGGATTGGTTCCACATTTCTTGACATCTGATCAAAAATAGACTTGGTTTAAATCTCCAAGAAGCTATTCTCCAAATATGAAAAAAGTGAACCTAATTTTTCTTTAACAAGATTGTCACAAGTGATGAAACTTGGGATTTACTTTTGAATCGAACTCGGATAAAAAAAAAATTATGAAAATTTTAGATCGGAAACGATCAGACCACGTATAGCTCAACATTATCCGACATTCAAGAGAGTTCAATGCCGATTGTTTTTTGATAGAAAAGGTCCGATGTGCCTGACTGATCATATAATTGGACATTTATGCCGCCGGAATATTGCCAAAAGTTGCAGAACATTACCAAATCACCCATCCCGGCACCAGTCCCCGAGAGATTAAACAGTTCATAACTCCGTTGTCATGACAGTTTTCCTGAATGAGCACAGCATCTAGACATTTTCATCAAACGCTTCATAAAGTCGTGATCTAGCTCCTGTTCATTTTGTCTGAATTCTGTTATTGAAGCATCGCTCTTAGGCAGATGAATCGGAAAGCTGTCGTGCGCTTGGAAGTACAGCTTTCCAGTACATGAAAATGCCAAATCGTGAGTACAAAATGACATTGAATAAATGGGTAACCAGACTGAGAAATACTCTCTAATACTATAAAATTACACGAGATGCTGATATACTGTTCAATAATAAAGACCTTTGTTTTACAGAGAACGAATATTCAGCACTTGTTAAATACAGATATTTCAGATCAGAACGGTAATGTATTCAAACCACAGTGGTTACAGGTGAGTACCCTCAGCTTCATTAGATAATGCTTCGCTGAATTATGATTGCAAATGTATTTTATTTAGTCGACTTTTGGAAACTAGAATATACTAAAAACCACCCAACTAACAACCAACCTATTTTGACATTGAACTATGCTCAAATTATGGGTTTAGTGTGAGGTGTTTGTCACATCTATTGATATACCTTAGGGTCTTTGTCAATTAAATTTTCTTTATAAAACAGATTACATGTATCAAAAAATACAAATACTAACCCATGTCCAAGTTCATGTGCTGCAATCGCTATCGACATTGAGTTAAATCCATGCTGGATTATGCTTTGGGCGTTTGGCTTGCATACCGACGAGAGAGAAGTCAGACCTGGAAACAACACAGCAAAGGAATACGATAGGTTACAGCATTTGTACTTCACCCTAGCGTAGTATTAATGTATGTTCCTCGCCTATTCGAGATTTATCTACATGAAAAAACTTACATGTAGACCTTGAATTATGTCGTAAATGGAGTCCATCACGTCTTCCGTAGTATGTTAATATGTCTGATACAGCATCATAGACTACGGAAAGGAACAAAATCATACCTTTTAGTGGAAACAAAATAAACACTTTCATATATTTCAGTAGTCGACTCTAATAACAAAACTCCATATGTTTCCATCATTTTCAGTACAAAACAGACAACTGACAAGTCCTGTCTATAATCTTATCCCACCTTCTGCCTCCAAAAGTATTTACCTGGCACAATTACATCCTAGCTATGATTTATTTGACCCCTTTACACCTTACGAACTTTAAGCCATACGTTGTTCCGGGCATAAATACCGTATACACCATGCAGAATGTCTACTGCAATTATGGGTACATTTTTATAATAAAATTTTGAGAAAAAAAATAAAAAAATAATGGGTACATTTTTAAAATACGAGAAGAAACCAAACTGAAAAGTGAGAAGAAACAAAAATGACAAAATTCCTTTGATTTGTCGTTCAAGTGTGTGTGATTTGGATTTTTAACGTAGCTTGATTATTTTTGTCATATCGCTACGATGTCTGCAGTGTGGCAGTTTACAGTGATGCCTAGCACTGGGGCATTATGCCGCAGACATGTAGCATGTCCCACCCAGTCACATTATCCTGACACCAGGTAGCCCAATCCTAACACTATCCTCTTAACGTTAAGCGTCAAGCGAGACAACGGTTTGTACCATTTTGAGAAGCCTTTGTTATGACTCAGCCTGGGATCGAACCTGCGACCTCCCACATACGAGACGGACGCTGTAACCACTAGGCCATCGGAGCCTCGTGTAGGTGGATTACACATATGGTATCTGTTGTATTTTATGTCAAACATTCCACAATAAGGCAGTATGTATTTAAGTGGTTTTATTTCTTTTTCTTATTTATATTCAAGCAGTATTTAAAATGTACTTCGACTACATTTAAACAAACAAGTCATCATCGTCGTCGCTATTATTATTATTATTATTAGTAGTAGTAGTAGTAGTAGTAGTAGTAGTAGTAGTAGTAGTGGTAGTAGTAGTACTAGTAGTAGTAGTAATAGTAGTAGTTGTAGTAGAAGTAGTAGTAGTAGTAGTAGTAATAGTAGTAGTACAGAAGTAAATGTAATTGATAATTAAAAAAGGTAGATAAAATGATACCAAAACAAATTTTGCCAAAATTAATGAATCATACAAGTAGAAATATAACTAAAATTTCTAAGTAATGGCTGATATCTTTTTTAATATTTTAATGTTAAGAAATTGAATCAGATTTTAGAGTCAACTTATTTTACAAATTTATCAATTTTGTTTTATCTATCTTTTAGGCATTATTTTTGTGGTTTTGCTCTACTATTGCTATTACTACAGTTACTGCTACTACTACTACTACTACTACTACTACTACTAATAATAATAATAATAATAATAATAATAATAATAATAATAATAATAATAATAATAATAATAATAATAATAATAATAATAAAGTCATATTGCATATTCGTATCACGTGACAGTCCGCCATTTAGGTACTGATTCACCTTTGTGGTTTTGCTTAGAGACGATTTCCTACGTGTTCATTCTAAATGCCAGCGTTTATCCCAATCAATGTCAACAGAAAAGCTTATGTGTGTTGACAGGGCCGTAAAGAACGATCACCGGTCCTGTGGTAAGAAACACCCAGGCTTCTCCTAGTTCATGATCAAACAAAATTTTATTTGATAATATTAAAATGTGTTATCCCAGGGTGCCATCTCCCACCTCTTGTCGGCCCTGTGTGTGTAGATAAGTTATGTTTTATAGGAAAACAGATAAAAGTAATTCCAAATTACAAAATATAATCCTGGACAATGCCGATTAAGTTCTCTTCCCAATTATTCCCATTCTTGTGGACCAGGTCGAGTCCGGTCCCTAAATTTCCGACATGATCAATCGCTTTAAAAGAAAGCAATTCAACCATTGAACGACCATAAAAGCTGCTTTTGGATAATAAAAAAAAATAAAACAAAATGATGACACGTTATATCTGTGAATGCGAAATACTGAATAGTTTTGCTCCAGATATGACAATCGTCAGTTAGTCATGGTCTTTCAGGAAAAGCGCACATAACACCTTAAACCTGAGAATGATACAGTTTTAGCTGACCTGACAAGAGTACGCTATAGAGTGTTTAATATCACACACACACACACACACACACGCGCGCGCGCACGCGCACGCGAATTACTGTTCTACGGACATCTTGGTGCAATAAGTGGGAGAGAGGAGTTAGTGACTTAGATACCAGATTGTAGGACTGAAGCTCAAAGGACAAAAAGTCACAATTCTGATTTTCACAGTTATGAAACATTTGTAGGTAAAAAGTCAGCGACTAAATTGTCACTATTTTAATTGGAGTTATGAAAAAGAGAAGATCAACAAGTCCCAATATGACTTAGGTAATTTTGAAGTCTTACTGCACGAATTAGGATCATTATCTTTTGGTCCTATAAAATCTATCGCTCGTACCTTCTCAGTTCTTTTCCAAAACCATCACTTCCTGCATACCATGTAATTTGAGAACGAAAAACAAGATATTTGCTTGTATCCTGCCTATCCTCTAACCTCGTTTACTCAGTAATTAAAGAATCAAACAATGCCGCCAATTGTAACACTCTTATCAACATCACCCCCTCCACATAAAACACCTTTTCTAGAGAGGAACCCAAAACTATCGATTGCTAAATTTATTGTCAAAACCGCTGCATTGCGTCCCGCCGGATCATTTAATTGTTATTTCAGTAGGTAATATTTCTACCAATTAGGGTCCTGAGTGCGTATCAATACGTCGGTGAATTTATGATGACTGGAAAAAGTAAATAAAGTAAAGAATGAAGTAGATAAAAGTGCAGATATTACATGCCGACCAATCCAGTAAACGCGTGTAATAAAACAATGTATATTTTATTGATTTATCCATCACAGTTTATGTTATTAGTTTTTAGATATCTATTAACAGTATCACACCATAAATATTTAAATTAATTTATTCCTGTTAGATTCACACATCAAACGTAAAACTTTATAGTGATAAGTTATTATAATTACAGAGGCTCAAGAGAGGTTGTCTATTGATAGAAGACAGAGTAATATATAAAATTGATCAATTTATGCAATACAAATCTGCTTTTAAATGGCACTCGTATCGTATTGGTTGTGTTAGTTACATGAGACGAATTATTAAGTAATTTGAAATAAATGTAAGGTTAACAGATCTGTTATCATACCAAGACAAAAATACAAAGTTTACATATGTGTATGATGGGGTCCAAATGATATAGTAAATAACAATCTTTTCAAATGCACAGTGTCTTTGAGAGATCGTCGTGTAATGAAAAATGTAAAAGAAAATGTATGCACCACACAAACATGACGAAGACAATGAAATATGTCAGACAAGTATCAAAAAGTTAAAATATGCAGATCCCTTTCTTAAGACGGATGACAAAGACAATAAAAACACAAAAAGCAATCTAAATAGATGTTTTGTCTTGATCCATTTATAGTCTGTGATTTTGTTTTAGCACTACATGTAAATACATAGTTTGTTTGTGTTATCGTGTTTGTAATTGTTCTTGCTTATATCATCCTCCAGGAAAATGGGATCCGTAGATCGCGAAAGAGTTTAACTAGTTTTTCTAACCTCTAACATGCTGCACTGTGATTTGTAATCTCTCTCTCTCCTCTCTCTCTCTCTCTCTCTCTCTCTCTCTCTCTCTCTCTCTCTCTCTCTCTCTCTCTCTCTCTCTCTCTCTCTCTCTCTCTCTCTCTGAAATATGTTTATACAATAAAAACATCAGATACACAACAGCACATTTACCTGAGATGCCGCTAGATCCACCAGTGGTTAAACGATACCTGACGAAACAATAATTACCATTTATTAATCTACATCACTATTTATTGATCTACATCACTACATTTATTTATCAGAGCAAACAGAGCAAATAAACATTTCTTTGAAAAGAAAATAACGTTATCACAAATGCATATTATTTCTGTTTCAAACCTAAAATTATTTCTAAAACAAATATTATTTTTCTCTTAATTTGATTTCGTATTTGACATAAGACCTAGTCACATCTGAATAAATACTTTGAGCAGAGCGTGAAATCATTTAAACGTCTCTCTCTCTCTCTCTCTCTCTCTCTCTCTCTCTCTCTCTCTCTCTCTCTCTCTCTCTCTCTCTCTCTCTCTCTCTCTCTCTCTCTCTAATACAGCTTGCTTTTCTAGCCAAAAGGAAGTATCTACAATCACTACAAATTAATATCTATAAATGAATAAAAACCAGTAAGAAAAGCATTTAGTTGACAGATTTTACTGTCAATATGATTCAAACATAATTCGAAAAGCCAACCAAAATAGAGAGATAATGAAAGAATACATAAAATGACAAATTGTATGTTAATATGGTCTGTTTAATACAGTAACCAGAGTTGTGGAGAGACGTGGTAATTTTAGTGGTTTTTATACTCAATTCCAAGGTCGGCTACACTATTTCTTAACACCATACTATACTGAAGACGATTTGAACAAAATTAAAATGATCGCCTACGTTGTTTTTAATATATGTAATATATATGGTAATTAGAAACAAGAAGAGCGTCTCTCTGAAACTATTACTTAACATGAAATATTTCGCAATCAAATTTTGGATTCAAGCCAACACCATTTATTACCTTTACCTTGTGAGCAGCATGGTATAATCACGGCCAGGAAGTGTTGTCGCCTGAACCCATTTCCCGAAAGAGCTCAGTGCTGTAGATGCGTCAACGTTACCAGCCGAGCTTTTAATATTTTCCGTCCAGGTTGCATCGGCTACGTTCTTATAAAAGTAAAATATTCTCGTTTATATACTTGCCTACTTTTAGAGCAACTATGCTGCAGTCTTATACAGTGCAAACTATGACGTTAACAACATGAAGGAGAAAAAGATGATGTGGAAGCCGAATTGCTTAGTTTATCATAATGTAAAACGTTGGAAAGGTGAATAGTTAGGATATGATAATCTGTTTTTAAAGAAAATTGTTCCAGAAGAATAATAGTTAATTGAGGCATCTACTTGACATTTCAAATTGATAAGGCATTGAATAACTATTTTAAAACGGACTAGTGTTTATTTAACGCTTACTACATATTGCTATATACAATCATTATCTGACAAAAAGAACACATTTTACAACTGTATATACTTCCTTATAAATCGAGTCTAACTGCAAAGTGTACAGACACAATGTACAGACAGATCTGGATCTGTGCAGTTTGTTAGGAGTAATCTGTTAAACAACATAGACCCTGATCTGTTGGTTATAAGTAAATACATACGATATATTATGGTCCATGTGAATAACATATATTTGAGTACAATTTGATTGGTGCTTTACAGTACAGAAATACATGTAGGTTATGTCGTACTGAGGCAATTGGAGTACAGTGCCCTGCCCAAGGACACGCCTCAGATGCTAACACAAGCTGGTCCGATGGTAGGATTGGAACCCGCATCCCTTCGATCGCAAATCGCGCACGAAAGCCACTGAGCAATTGCGGTTCTTAGTACATCGTAACTACATGCCAAATGCGTGTACGTCTCATTAATTTAAGTTCTTTTGAAAATAAAGTTTATCAGTGTTATAGACGTGTTATGATTATGTAGTCATAGCTGAACAGTAGTATGGTTATGTAGTCCAGTCATACAGTGTTTGAGTTATTTAGTTTTAGTCATAACCAAAAGTGTTTAGATTACGTAGTCATAGCCGTACA